ACCATTCGGTTGAAACCTGCTCCTTTCCCATATTGAGCCCAAGAGTTTTGCCAACTTTAAGACTAACGACTGCCTCGGGAAACATCGCTCGCCGTGGTAACCTATCTGGTGACTTGCGCAAAACGTCATGATCAGCGTAATCTATGAAGGACAACCACTTGCTCTAGTGGACGACCGCGATTACCTAATACTCTCCGTCTAACCTCAGCATTGCTTGTTCGGTTTCCCCACCAGACTCGTGCCTTTCATTCGATCGAAACAAGTCGCATTTTTTATGACTGAGTCCCACTTTGCCTCTCGTTAATATAAAATATATTGTGGGATGTTACATTTGTGTTCAGTGATGGGTCCAAAAGTCTTAAAAACAGTCATTACAATAAATTGATGAGATATAAATGGAGGGCTTGATTCTATTATATAGGCAAGTTGGTTGTCCGTAGGGCAAACAAAACACGAGCTGATTTTTCAATTACAATTTAGTGTGATGAACAGCAGATGAGGTAAAACCCATATCCCTGAGCACCTGCTGTACATTGATGGAAACTGGCAACCTAAGCCCCCGGGTCTTGGTGTGGCGAACCACATAAGGCCCCGATAGGTTAGGCGTGGTATTGAACCGGAAGACAGCAAATCTGTCTACCACCAAAGTTGGTTGGTGGAGGCAGGGGCCGAACCTCAGTCCAGAGAGTCCAAATCACGCCTGTCACAACGACTAAAACAGTAAGTTAGAAAGCACTTTACAGCTATTTCGACCTAACTGGGTCTCATTTGCATTACTAATTCGTCGGTCCAACAGGTAGAACTTAAGCATACTACTCACTTAAACAGACGGGTCGTTTTTATTGTCTATTCAAAATATAACGGATTCCATCCATTCCATAAGAGCTTTATTGTCTTTTTCAGATCATTCAAATTTATTTGGTTATCTTTACTCATGACTGAAATTGAATTGCTGGCCGAAGAACTTAGGGGTTTTGGACTGCGTGCCTCTAACGGGGATGTACTTCAGAAATGTAAGTTTTGTGTGTTATGTGTTGATTCTTATAATTTCAGTAACTCAACTGGGTCTTAAGTGGGATATAGATGAATCTGCTCTGGTAGAAAAGTATGTCGCTTTTCAACGGAATGAAGATCTGCCAGACGAAATTTCACCCAAACACGTCGAGCAGTTTGATCGCGAAGTTTGTTGCTATGGTTGTCACTATTTCTCCTTAGATATCTTCGAAATTCGAAAGTGTCAAATACAAAACAATAAAGATATCAGTTCCCTCGACAGTTACTCCAAAGTTGCTCCCCCAGAAAATGCTCGAAGAACTGTAAGCTGGTGTTTGTACTATATAACTAGTATATAGAATGGCTACAGAGTCCCAAAATGACCAGCTTAATTTATTCAGTTCTTATATTCCCAATTTAATGGTCCCACCATTGTCTGCATCTCCGATGGTCCCTGCCGCTAATAAAGGTATTTGAACTACTGATGTGACTTCCTGTTTTTAGAAAACATCGGCCCAGCTGCTATTCCTATTAGTTCAGAAAAGTTGGAATCCGCTTGCATTTTCCCATTGGCTATCGAAGATCATCGGTTCAAGACATCTCCTCGTTCTCCCTCAAGTGAATGGAAGGTGGACGTGTTGAATAATTCTATGGCACCCGTTCGCTATATGCACCAACCGACTTTGGAAAAAGCTGAAGGTATCCGATCCTGTCCATTACTTGAGTTTCAATACACCTAAACGACTACTAAAATAACATTGCACCAACATGGTGTGTACTAAGATGTCTACTTGTGATGTGTGTTCTCCTTTTGTGCGCAGACCAGTGATCATATGTATGTTACATCAGAGCGTTTGATTATTTACAATAAAGAACAAGTAACATAGTGCAATACATATCTATATTCATACATAACATTTCTCTTTTAGCGCTTGACAACTGGGTTTGGGACTTAGTCAAACAAATCATCGCTAAGCTACCGGAAGAATCGTTCACCGAGTCTACGATAAACCCAGGTTCTAGTTCTCAGTTGATTCATTGGTAAGTGGTGTCCGTTTTAATTTCATGTGGGGCCGATATATTGCCATTCATACATTCATTATTCGGGGATTTGCGTACCTTTTTAAACTCCACACTGGCGTGCTTTGGACCCTGTGATCCGAGGTTCGAGCCCCACCACCGCCACCCAACTTTGCTGGTAGACAGCTTTTCTGTCGTCCGGTTTAATACCACGCCTGACCTATCGGGGCCTTATGTGGTTCGCCACTTCACGTCCCGGGGCTTAGGTTACCGACTTCCATGACAGAGCAGCAGGTCTTCGTGATCATGGGGCTCGCACCATCTGCTGTTCACCAAACAAATGTGTGCGATAAAGAAAGAATAAACAAACTACACCATATCCATAGATTACCACGATTGTCGATAGGTACGAAAACAGCTCCGGGCCAGCAAAATAAGTGAGTCATTGTATTTCGCTCGCTAGAGTCGTCTATGCACACGTAAGCCGGAAGGCTTATTTGGGGTTATTCGTATTTAATTGGCAAATCTGAGACAATCAAAAACTATAATCTCAAGGACGATGGGCCACCAATTTTGTCAACCAAATGGAAGGTATTCGTCAACTTTCGGGATGACTGATGATTTGTTGTGCTTGTTTATGCGTAACTGCAACTGGTGCGCAGTTTGTTTGGACCGTTTCAGACAGAACAGGAGTGAGACAAATGAGGCGTGCAAAAGCAGTGATGCAAATATATGGCCTGTTTAATCGTACTGTACTATCATTATTACCGCGCCCGATGCGCTTATCCAAAGCTAAAAGACTAAAAAACCTCTATCATAAATGTTATGTTTCACGGGTACACTGTCACAGTGTGTTCAGTTGTTTTGCTGGAGTCGAAATTCCGGTATTGATGTAAGATATTCGTGCACTGGAGGTTTTCGCTTGTCAGTATTTGCGTCGTCTGACACGGCATCGTAGTAAACCGTTACGTGTTTTGCAATGTATCGGTAAATTGGAAATTCTTTGCAACGTATTTGGTTGACTCAACCTCCTCGGTTAGGTAATCGCCTACCGCACTCTCACGGCTATTAGGATGTTGACGGTACGATGATCCCTGATTGGCGTCTTTACCTTACGGATTTTTTGCAATAGCTTTTCCTAAACTGTTCACCTGCACTACTCAACGATTTATGTAGACCAATTTTCTTGAGTCATAGGTTTACTCAACTCCAACTCGTATTTGAGTTTGCAGATCCGTTGACAAAAATAACGATGAAACAATTAGTTTGAATAGTTAAGTTTCGCAACGTCCTCACCTGCCGCCTTTTACAGGCTACAATTGTTGTGTAAGATCTGAGAACAATCCACGCACTTTCATCCGGGGGCTTTGATTTTTGACTGGGAAAGGTACGCTATGGCGTTGGCGTTCAGACGAGACAAATTGGATTGCGCTCCTAATTTCATTGCTAAATGGCCCATGTAAACATCCGAACTCCTACATCGATGAACAGCACCCATTGACACTAACATGAATAATGTTTGTCTGCATGTTGTGAAACACCAGCTTGTCGAAGATACCACACTACTACCGTATGTGTTTGTTATTCTTACTGTTCATGGTCAACTCCAAGTGTCGTCAAGTTTTACGTTAATCAAGAAAAAGGTACAAGATTTTAATTTTCCGTCCTTAGTTCTGATCCTTGTCTTAGCACTTCCCTCAATATTCGTTCTTAACCGTTTGCCCGTAATGAACTTGAAATTTGGCCAACAGTTTTTGCGTTTCAGTGATGTCTTCTAAATTTGAAAGGTCGCATAAGTCATTCCTGGTTATGGTCATTTCTTCGAAAGTGGTATTTTTATAGCTCCACCACTGCGATAGCTAATCACGAATCAATTAATACAGAGGTATCGATGCATGAGCTGCATAGGGATTGGTTAAAGGTGTTTTTCGTCTTCTAATCTGGGATTCGAGAACTTCTATACTCCGTTATGGGTGTTGAAACTGATGTCAGCACTGCCATCTTTACAGTCCTTACCAAATGGCTGCACAGCTACATATTGCTTTCTGCATCTTCATCACCTTTCCTAACTTCATTTTTATTTATTGATGCAAAACGTAACCAATTGCAGAGAACTGGCAAATGTGCCACATCCACAAAAATGAGTCTGTAGAATGTGTTCATAGGTTGTGTGGGCATGTTACTTCCCGGTTGCCCTGACCGAAGGATTGGCTCTTTACTTGGTGCTGCACCATGTGGATGCCGTGTTAAAAGACTTGTTGGTGCGGTTCTTCGCATATCGAAAGCAGTGCGACCTCCCGTACAAACATCTTTTCCGTTGTTGTTCTGTTCTCTTACATCTTATTCCTGGCTTCCATAGTCCTTCGGTGAGTCCCTCTCCCTTACGTGGCGCGTTGAGTGGAAGTTCGTCGCAACCAGTAACAAAGGCAACAGGAAGCCTCGAGCGGACTACATACCTTCGACCCACTTATGTCCGTCTCCAGACCAGTTCGCTTGTTGCCGGTCGTGTAGCGTCAAGCACGTCAACTCTCAGCTCCCAGCTGACTACAGAAGCGAAAGAAAACGACTTGCAGATGACCAAGAATCGACTTCAACCGGGCAATGCTGCTGTTATTGGTCTTCGTCGAGTTGAAGGTGCCGGTGGCAGTGCGGATGCGATGACACGATTAGAGTTCCCGATGGCAAACAGCTGCGTTTATTCCATTTTCTCCGGACAACCGGTGATTCTGCGAGCGACTAATCCTACTGGTCGTCAACTGAATGTGACTGATGTCTTTACTGTAAGCTCTTTATTTTGCATACTTCACTTCATGTATTGCTGGTTCACGTTAGCTGGTGATCCTACTCCCTGTGACGCTTCCATCGTTAGATGTATACAGTTTGTCGAATTTAATCATCCATATCAACTTCATTGATAAGTTGACATTGTTGAGTTGAGTTATTACAGAATAATTTTGCTATTTTTTGATTAATATAAAAATAGACGAAAATTCATGACCATTCAGTAAGGGATGAACTCAGCACGCAAATTCTGATGAGATTAGTGCATTCCTTACTACACGAATGAGTCATCTGTCGCTTGTCGATCATTTTTTCAATTCCCAAGTTAATTTGTATCGCATATTTGAATAATGATCAACTTCCAGTTTCGGAACCAATTCCTCTTAGGCATACACAATCTGTCTTCTCCACAATCAGACTAGGCTGGTTTTAGACCTGGTCGAGGTTGTATCGATCACATCTTCACTCTTCGCCAAACTCCGGAGCACCGACATTCATTTCGTAGACCCACCATCTCTATCTTTCTGGATCTAAAAGCTGCTTTCAACTTAGTCGACCGCTCTTAATTATGGCCTTTCCCTGAAGGGTGTGCCCGAGGAGTTTATTTCAATAGTGCAATCCCTCTATACTCATAGCCGAAGTCGAGTCCGAGCTTACGGCACGTTTTCACCCCGGGTCGCCGCGGAAAGTGGAAAGAGTTGCCCTCTCTCTCCACCTGTCATGATTATTGTATAGCATTCTTCGTACTTGATCATCGCTCGTACCTCATTTTCAGGCACAGTCCTCATTTCACCCAATGAACCATATACTTGCTCAGATGCTTTCGAAGTAAGGAGCAGTATAGTGTACTATTGGTAGTATTATTATCTAGTATAGCTATACTTTGTTTAATATAGTATACTATGCTTTTGTATAGTTCTAGCATTGAGTCGTATATGGTGCTGTGGTATAGTCATAGCATGTTATTGTGTATTTGAATGAGGTTTTATACTGTGATCAGTTGCAACAATATTGGCACTGATCCCACATTACTAACCGCTAATAATTGTGAGCTATAAAAACACCCGATGCACGATATAAAAAGTTTAAATTACTTTATTCATCTTTACCATTTACTACTTTCTGACGAATTTCCTCTGCTGGCATCCGTTTCAAGCCCTCGATTGTGGAGTTCCCGAAGCCAGTTTCAAGGACCTCCGGTGAGCAGATGAGTTTTATTTACCGTTGGAGTTTTGTCGTGAAGAGTAAATATTTCAGGTGATAAAAAAGAGGAAAAGTTCTGCTGGGATTTTTGCATTTTTGCCACAGCTTGGAGGGAACATAAATAGCTTTTTGGTTCCATACGGCCTCTTTATCATCACTGTCATTTATTCAAAGTACCATATAGTGCATTTTTATTCCAGCATTTTTCCTAGATTCCCGGTCTCGAAATGTGAGAAGGGCTAAATTCGATCGAATCTCAATTCGAAGGAATCAACTGTTGGTGCACAAAGCACGTGGTCTAGTAGAGAGTCCGAATGATGCTTATCCTCAAGGCAAGAAATGAATGCGGACATTCCAATCGGTTTTATTGGAGTCCTAATTTGGATATATGTCTTACAGCTCAGCATTAATCCACTCCACACAGGTCATGCGTTATTTAGTGTCCCGATCGTATAGAGTCCCATTGGCGGCCATTCGTCACAAATCAATTCCAGTTGAGCACTTTCACACGTACTCTCCCCTCATTGGTTCTAATGAATTGGAAAACGCCCTGTCCTGACCCACATCAACCGAGTTATAGTATTTCGATTGTTTGGGTTCAGTACAAGTAGTTCACTATTCGGAGTTCTGCTTCAAGCTCATTGAAAAATATGCACCGTCTTATGAGTTGTTACCTCAGCCCCAGTTTGGAATAAAAAGTATAAAAATGATCACTTTTACTTTTCTCCTCATTGATGAACTGGTGATCAATTGGTATAGGTTACCTCCAATATATCGGTCCCCGTGTTCGAACCTTCACATTTCTCTCCATTTCTCTACAGTCTGTGACTAACCGCTTTTACTTTTTCGATGGTTTCCAGTACAATTTGCTCTATACCAAATAAAAATGAAGTAGCTTACCACCATTTGTCACAGCAACCATTTTTGACATATACTTGTATTTCACGCACGTCTGAATCCAGACTGTGCCAAATGAATCATAGTGCAGTAATCTTTATAAAAAAGAGAAAGTTCTATGATTTACCAGGTTTCCCAGGCCAAGGCAGGTGCATTTTCTTGAGGAACTTACAAAGAGGCCTTTGCTAACCAAAACTTGATCTGCAAACAGCGGGGTGGTGTGTGCAGACTGCAATCCATTTCGGCCGGTGTACAGCTCACCGGATCATACGCCCTTCGGACGGGGTCAAACGTCTAAGGTGCCCAATACACTTCGATGCCCAATTAAACCAATGACCACTGCCACAACCAAGGTGTAAGTGAGCGTAGTTTGGAATCAAGATTTTTTCCAGTCGACTCTCACAGGTGAACTGCCATTTGTTCACCGACCCGGATGTCGGTTTTTCTTCCCCTCTTTTTCGGGGGGAATATCTCCACCACGAGAAGGCAGTGAGTAGTTCTTCCTCAGTGGAGGCTATTTGAGATGCTTGGTGCTATAGAAGCACTTCGCCAATTGCAGGGGAACAGTGATCAGTCACAACCCAAGACACTCACCCCCGACCAAATTGAGGCTTTCGGAGGCCCATTATTTACAATTGTTATACACATGACTACCAATGTAAAATAAGTCACATACCTTCGCTGTATGTAAAGCAACGAGAAATATAGCGAACAATATAAGAATACAGTAACGTGAAAGAAAAGGATGGGTTTATAGTAATAATAACTATAGAGTATCATATTTGAAAACAGCTATCCACTGCCCTTTGTCGGTTATCAAAGATACTATTATTTTTATTATCATTTATTGTTACCAATAATAACCATAGTGTATGACCACCTTTATGATCCCTTATTCATCTCACTCTGATTGCAGCTGATTTCATTAGTTGTGCTCTCATGAATTTCTGCTGAAAATGGGAAATATAACATTATCCTTCAAATGCGATGCAAATGTTTGTGATAACCAACAAAGAGCACTGTACAGCTGTTTCGTCCTGTTTGGGACTCGTCAGCAGTGCGTACTTTTGTGTCCCTGTTGGGACGCGAACCGCGATCAATCGGGTCGGGACTTCAAACCCTTGCTCCTGAGCTACACGGCCGATGGTCNCCTTGTGCGAGGAGTAAAACCCACACCCAAGACCATCAAGAGTGCCTGGTGTCTCTGAACAATTGAATGGGCTAATCCAAGCTTGATACTCTAAACCACTATCCTTATTTAAACTGTAAATAATGCGTAACATCTGCACACATGGATCTACTTTCATGAATTCATTCCGTTTCATATACATTACTCTCATGACCGAGTCTCTTGGCATGAGGGTATGAAAACCCTAACCAAGATACTCGGTCATGTAGGTCGCGTTAGGCTCTCTGGATGGGGACCTTGAGATAGTGGTAACCGGTGGTTAGAGACGCTGAGTAATATGACTGTGCCATGAACAGTGGAGTTTGCACATCTCAGTTTCCTTGCAGCCTTAGTCCACTCGAAGTCTCCATTTTTCTTTGATTCTACTTTCAGCGTTTCAATCTTTCTACCCCATTATCCAAACAGACAGCCAAAAGACAGCAACCGAAACCGGCCCACGAAAGTGCTTGGTTAATGGTTGTTCAATCTGTACTGATCATTAGATCTCACTGGGATAGTCCACCACATCCGCAGAGCCTGGCACAGTATCCGAAAATAAGTCAGTTTTCTCAACATTCAACCTACCCCTGTACGATCATTACCTATTTTAGCTGTTCGGCTATCAAAGTCCCTGATCATAGCTGTATATCGTGCTTACTATGCAAAACTGCATGCGATTACAAGTTTTCTCGTGATAAATTGACCACCGGAATGTCGTATAATTCACCATATACGATTTACAATTCCCCGTCCACTAGTCACTTTATTCAGCACATCCTTTCTAGAACTGACCACAACATTATTACATACCATCTCGCAGCCCTGCGGTTCTGGTCTTGGTTGACTAAAGGCTTCGATTGCGATTTTCCCAAGAAAATTCAACAGCTTGGGCCTGAACAATGTAGCCTTATTCCCTCTACGAGGACATATTTCTTAGTTGTAAAGATTATTGTACTATGATTTATTTGGAACTCGGACTAGTGTGAACTCTGATATACAATAATGGGTGAATGGTGTCCCAATTGATGTGGCTTGTTTTGCGTTGATCAATCGATCACGACTGGCGATATTCTCCCTGATCGCCCATTTCTCAATTCAAAAAAGTACTAACTTTCTCAGACAATGTTCTACTCGATGCGACCTACACTGTTCACACCGATACGTAGTGCCGTTCCCAAAGCTAAATGTGCTCAAGCAGTTGAATATTGGAGTTTTGTCCTCTTTTTCTCCCAACTCAATTTCATGTCAGATTTGTGCGTGATGGTTGCTACTGGTCCATATACGTTCGCCAATTCAAACGATCCCTCACTGCTTTTGACTTTCCTTCGTGAGGTGAAACGAAACAGACCTCACGTATTAATTCTGTTGGGTCCAATTGTAGATGCCAATCATCCTGTTGTCCAGGTTAGTTCATCTGTAGCTGTGTTCTCATAAGCTCCCCTTTCTTGTTTCAGTAGATAGACACCCTGTTATTACTGATCATTTCTCATCACGCGATGAATTGCATTATGGCGGTTTCGAGTGTGCCCAATCAGTTTATCAATGCTGAGATGGTAGATTATTATAATTACAATTGTAATTATTATTATAATTTTTTTTGT